TCAAGACTGGTTGAGCTAGAGCAGGCCCTGTGGTGGCATGGACTGGACAGCAGATCAAGGTCTGGTCCAGCTCTGTTCTCAGGGCTGCACTTGCACGCACACTAATACACGCGTAGACTGAGGAATGCCTCCCAGGCATCTGGGCACATGTAATCACTGCAGATCTGGTGGCACTGCCTATATGAGGATACATATTCATTCCAAAGCCCCTGCCAAATTCCTCTTCTTGTTCCCTAATTTCCCTGCCAGAATCACCTGGCTAAATCAGAGATTATTTCCTCACCAGTGATGGAAAGCTGCCAGAGGTAGCTACAAGCTGGCACAGGTTCACACTCCCCTGCAGGTAAAACTGAGTCAAGAAGCGCCCTCTGGGAGGAAACAAAAGTTGTGGAAGTTAGTTATTGCAGAGCTTCTACTAGTTATAAAACTTGTCTGGCAATAAAGAGAAAGGTTGTGGATAGGGCCTGTAAAGTCAACCTCCCTTGGCGAGCAGCTTCATTTGCCACTGCCCTAGTTGAACAGTGCTGTACACGCCCCTTATCTGTTCCCAGAACACAACAGATGCTTTCCATAGGATAAGGAGTGAGCATGAAACTAGGGTAACAAGGTAATCTGCAGGGCACTACACAATCTATTTATTTCCTGATTCACCACCACAACCACTTCTAGAAACAGGTGCTGTAAGCACAGCTCTCCCAGCTGAGCAGTTTGAGCTGGCCCCTCCCTACATCTGTGGGACCACTTACCCCCCCTTCCACCTCATAGGCTGCTAAAGTCATGTATTACCACAGGTTTCCTCTCATCTTCTTATGAATGTACCTTCCTAGCTGTGAGAGGAGCCAGAAGGGTTTCTTGACTTTTCATCACCTTCACTGAGGCAGCATTGAGGCTGTTGTTGGGGTGGTAGCATAGCGTGCAGCACTTAGTTTAACTGAGGAACTCATAAGAAAATCAACTCAGAAGAATCTCTGGAAACCATCTCATACCAGCTGCAGCGATACTAAGTCCTACTAATTAGTTATGTGAATCCATGGATAATATTAAGGAACCTGATAATTTATTGCACCCTCCCAAGCATCCCATCTAGCTGGCACACTGGCCCGCCACTGTTTCTCTTTATTTAAGTAACCCCTGCCCAAGCCTCTACTCAACTATATGCAGAGCAAGGAGTTTTGCAGTAGAAACTTGAATAAATGAGCAGAGAAGGGTAGTCAGCACCTCCTGTGTGAATTTGGTTTGGGTTCCTCTCTGCCCAGTGCATGCCCTTCCCCTTGGAAAAAGAAAGGAGAAAGGGTATCTTCAAGGGACTGAGCATAAAGAAAACAATGCAGACAAAACCTCTGGAGATCGCATGTGAAGCCACTCCTCAGCCTGCTGTGCTGTAGTTTGGGCAGAATATGTACACAGGTGAAACTTTCAGAGAAATTCTCGGAAAGCTAAGGGAAACCCCCCTTTAGATGCATAGCTAAAGGGGGTTGCTCTGCACTTGAGATCCTCCTCTTCATCTTGTGGGCTCTTGGGCAAGCAAGAATAGACAAATCTTTGCCTTCCTGTCAGTTCTCAAAACCAGTCATGCCCTCTTCTTAATTTAAACAAAGACTTCTCCACCCTGTCCAGGCAACTTTTAAGAGCTGCAATAGTTAGCAGATACTTGGAAAAATTCTGTAACCAGCATGTGTTCGTCTTCTCCCCACACTTTCAAAAAATGATTGTGCTGGAGGAAGGAAGCCTCCCCTTCTTTTGCCCCTTCCAAGTGGAAAATCACCTCTAATCTTACTTCCCTTTTTACTGCTGTGTATCCTGTCAATTAACATTGAGTCTTGTTATGAACTGCAAATAATGTGGCTAAGCCTTTGGTCAGTTTTTTTCTAGTTCAATTCTCATTTTGCCCATGAACCTGGGTTTGGCTTGTGTTTTGCAGCCCACGATCAGCTCATCCTTCTCTCATTTCAGCCTCAGTTCTTGCTTGCTGTCAGCTTTCTAACTGCTCTGCCTGGCATCTGTCATGCCATTTTGTTCCTGTGATTTTCACATGTGATGGGCAAATGGGCTTGCTCCCCGTTGCACTGGAGACGTTTTAGCCCTGCTGGGTACTTGGAAGGGCATGTGTTCATTTCCCTATGTACCAGATCTTCAGGATATATGCATATACCACCCAGCTGAACTAAAGCCTTGTTTGCTTGATTTGTCTTCTAGGATGTTTATTCTCACATTGCCATTTGTCTGCTCCAGAAAAATACCATCAACTTGCAGTGGACATGACCACCTGCAATAGCGTGTCCTTCTCTGTCTCTCCAACTTCCTACAGCAACGGTCTGGGTAACTCAGGTGGGATTGGGTGTCCTCTGCCCACACCACCACAGCTGGCTGTCAACAACCACTCACTGGAAAAGGTGTGTAATTCTATTTAATTATGGACTCTGAAGTGTCTTGTATATATAGATGTCTCTCTTGGGGGGCTTGATACTAAGTTCTCCCCTTTATGACCAATCCTTATTTTACTCTTCTGTTTCCTGTTAAGGCAGTTCTTGAACAAAAACACAAGTTTCTCCCTTGGGTATTCTTGAATTCAGCAGTGGCCAGGAAATAAACTTGCCCATGGCCTTTTAGGGCCTTTCTCCTCTAGAGCTGAAAAGCCCTTTCATGTGCTGGATGTCAAATATGCCTTCTCTTTCTTTCTGCAGAAAACAAAGGCTTTTAGGAAGTTTCCAAGGCTCTTCCCTACTCCCCTGACACATGCAGTACAAGTCGTGATGTGTCTGCACATCTTTCCAATTAGACTGCAAACTCTACCAGGATGTTTGATACTGCAAGGTGGAGCTGGCTGCTATGGGAAGAGTGCAGTCCAAAAGAGCTCTGTTGGCTTTGGTGGCATTGCTGCTCTCTCTCTCTATCTCTCATTGACATGTAAAGAGCACTCACCTGGATCTTTGTCCATGTTTCGCTCAAGCTCTGTGTCACTGTGGAAACATACAGGTGCTGCATAGCTGGCAAAAAAGTCCCTGACTCTCTTTTCTCTTCGGTGACTTCCTTCTTCCAGCTCCTGGTGTGAGTGGGCACTGCTTGCAGGTACCTTGAGTGTCAAGCTATGTAAGGACAACCATTTTCTGCAGAAAGTAGGTTGTTGTGTAGCACCTGGAGGCTCTCTGAGATCTTTTTCATACGCATATTCACAGCTTTCCCACTTTCCCCATACTTTGCAGTACTTTTGGAGAGTAAGAGGCTGAGAATTGAGGAGACTCTATTTTGGAGTTTGCTGAGCCCTTTTTATACTAATGTACACATGGCACTGATGCAGTGACAATATATCAGTGAAGCCATTGCAAGAGCTAAAGTTGTTTCCAGATAAAGTGACAGTTCATGGACACACACCTCCAGTGACTGGAAATACCCTTTCTCTTACATTAAGGTCATGAGTAATGAGCCTGCCACTGCTTGCCTGAGCTTTCCTGGGGCAGAGACTGTTTGTGTAGGTGGTGTCCTCTCCTGCATGGCCTGCAGGATGAATCCTCATTTCACTGCTAGTGAACAGAAAAACACAGCTGTGGGAGTCACCTCTATTTGAATTTCCTGTGTGCTGTATTTAGGATATGGAGGACTGCATGCGCCTGAGAACCAGGATCTTATTAGCTCTGTGTTTTATACAGTACCAGGTAGACCTTAAATGCACCAAGCCCAGCTCTGCCTAACCTTTTTTTCTGATCTAGTTAACAATCACCTGCAGAATTTCCTTCATTTGTCCTCTTTGTCTTTATTTCAATTGTTGTCCTAGCAGCAGCTGCAGCCTCATTTACTGCTTAGACATGCGTAGTGGTGGACAGAGGTGCCTGCTATTTCTGGCACAGATGTATGAACCATGGGCCATCTGAAGAAGGTGACTGTGCTGCCCCCAGAACAGAACCCTTTCCTTCACAGTAGCTGCACACAGTGTTCCCAATTTTGGGAAGCAGCTGCTTTCCTCCTGAGGAACAAGAACTTATGATGTCATCCCAGGTAATATAAGTTTCACACAACTGATGTAAGTCCACCTTATCTCAGAGACTTATATAACACTTTAAGATGGTCCCTTCACCACCCCCAATATGGGCTGGATGTGTCCCTGAACTGAAGAATACGACTTCTTTTTTTTCAGAGACAATGACAGAGATTTGCCTTTTCTCTTGGAGTTTCTCTATCAACTCTTTCAAATTTTGCCTAGAGAAAAATGTGGTAAGATACCACAGCTGGCATGTGGGATGCCATAGCCAACTGTCTGCAGACACCACATCTGCTGGGACCAAGCACACCGCACTTGGCTGAACTTCATCTGTTCAGTTCTCTGTGTTTCAGTTTCCATGTGTCAGCTGAGGTCTGAGTGAAGTAGCCCTGCATATACTCACTTCACACTGACCACCATGGGATGAGACTACTCATGTACATTCTGCAACTGGGAGCAGGTCCCTGTGGGCCACTGATGGGCCAGTCACACTGGACATGTGTTTGTGGCACTTACTGATCCCATTACTGTCAGTTTCAGAAATGGACCCTTAAGCCAAGGACTGCTGGAGGAGGTCTAAATAGGCCCTTTGGGCTGCTGAAATAGGCTCCAAAGCTGTTGGCCCTACCCTGTTTGTCAGCACCATGCTCTCCTACAAAAAAAAAACAAACCAAAAAAAACCCAAACAGGACACAGGAAGCACCAACAGAAGGTGGGACCTCAATCCAATGTACTAATAATACTTAGCACTGTACATCACTGTACTGTTACTAACAAACATTGACTAATACATCCTCACAACACCCCTGCGAGGTAGGGAAGTAGTATTATCCCCAGTGTACAGATGGGGAAACCGAGGCACAGAGAGGCTAAGTGACTTGCCCAAGATCACACAGGCATTGGCAGAGCCAAGATAAGAATGGAGACGTCCCTTGTTCCCCACCCCATGTTGCCCCCCACTAGACAGTGTTGCCTTCTGGACATGAGGAACCCAAGAGGTGCCTTTGAAAAGCAATGCCTGGACTTGTTGCCTATTAATAATTTTTATTTGCCTTTAATGATTTATTTCACAGTTTTTCCCTCACACTGTACACCATGCTTTCACAGTCCATTTAGTGTTCTGTGGTAGCCCACAGCCTTCGCCTCTGGCACTGGGACAGCTCTGTGGGGGTGGGGGGGGGTTGGGTCATAGGGTGCTCTGTGCTTTCATTAAGAGGATGTTTAGAAAGTTTTCACTGGTATTAGACTGGGAGCATGTGAGCTCTCACTGGAGAATGGTAACACACACTAGAGAAGCAGGCAGGGGGAATGGATGGTAAAAAGGCATTTGCTATCCCCTGTGAAATGACCAGCGGCTCTCTTGGTTTCTTAGTTCTTCCAAGCTCCAGTGATCACTCAGAGCAGAAACTGTTTGTCTCCAACTTGCCTGGTCAGGAAAGTCATTGTTCTGGGGTTTGCTTCCCTAAGGGAAATAGGCAGTCAGCTCAGGACCAAAAAGGTCCCCCAGCATTGCCTACTCCAGATGCGTGACACTGTTGTGGAACGAGGCTGGTTGTAGCCATTGTACTCTCCTGCCACGGGGAAGGGGTATTACCACGGTTGGCAAGCAGCCATATTCAGCATCTAAGTCTTTTTTTTTTCAAAACTGGGATTCAATGTAGAGCAAGGGAGAGTGGATGGATGAGGAGATGAGGATGAGGCAGAGTAAACAGGAAAATCCACCAAATGGGCTTTTAGGAATGAAATGTTCCCCCTTGGGCACTTCAGCTGAAGCGGCTTCATTTTCACAAGGCTTCTTTCTCTCTCTGGGAACACCTGCTGAGCTTCATCTCTGTCAGCTGGATATATCGTATGACATTGGTATCTGCACGGAAAGAGCATACACATACATGTACGGTGGTTACAACTCCCTGTGAAAGACAGACACACTGCACCTTCATCCTTGGTGCATCACCTGGGGAGCAACATGGCTCTGGAGAAGGGGCTCTGAAACCAACCCTGCTGCTTTGGTGTTGGAGAATGCGGTCTGATTTGTGCTCACCATCCCTTTTGCTCATGATCTTGCCTCATCTGGTTTTTACCTTCTCTCTGATTACTCTTGGTCAGCACAGTTGAAACTATCCAAGTCATCCCTGCCTGTTCTTGTGGATTGGCACCTCCATTGGCTTCCCTTCCCTCAGTACCTGTATGCAGGCCCCTAGAGACATATTGCGTACAGTTATGCTCTGCCTTTTCACCCTCCTATCCCTTTTACAGCCTATTTCATTCTCCTCACATTTTTCCACGATGAGATGAATTGGGAAGAGCATCCTTCATATTCTGTTCGTACCCTTGCTTTCCTTAAATTTCATATTTGGAAGTCCGTCCACTATGACACTCTATCTGCATTTTTGTCATATGTGGTATGCTGCATGCTGCCTTGTCTATTGTGTCTAATGAAGTTCCGAGGGGCAGTTTTGTTTTGCCTCCTGGCCCCAGCAGTAAGGGAACCTGTTCACCCTGAAATGCACATTGATCTAAACAAGTGCATATCCTCAGACAGACCTCGTGATTTTGCAGTCATGGTCAGCCCTTTCTCAAATTGTGTTGATTTACTATCATGAGGTTGACTTTCCACACACATGGCACCCACATAGTGGCAAAAGCCATATGGTATCAGAAGCAAATAAGCAAAAAAATAGACACTTTCACTTACGTACTGACTGAAAAACTATTCTTTGCTCACAGCCTTACTCAGCCAGCTAACCAGGGCCAGCTCAGTCCATTTAAGTTACTAGATCCTCAGAAACCAATCTGAAATGCACTGCAGTCCACAGCCAGAGGGCAATCTTGTCTCCTCCTCATCCAAAGAGCGTTGTGCCCCACACCAGCTGGGGAAATGAGAAGTGCTGGAACAAGAGATGGGCAAATTACTGGTAACACGTCCAGCACTAGCAAGTGTGGGTATTGCACCCACCAAAGCAGTTGTGGGTGCAAAGTTTCCTTTAAACATGAGAAAGGGACATCTCTGCTGTGCCCTCAGCCAGAGCTGAGACAGCAGGGGATGAATCAGTTTCCCTTCACATAGAGCTCTCCACAAACATCCCATGGGGTAGCAGTGGGCTGTGGCAATGCTATTGGGACTTCTCAAGCTGTGTCTGGTGAGGTGGGTCTCCCTACTAAGTCTTCCACAGGTTCAGCTGTGTCATTCTAGACAGTTTAAAGGGTGGGGTTTAGTAATTAAGTTATCTGCCCCATTTGGGGCACTCTTAATGAGCCAAGAAGTTCTGCTGTTGCTTGTGTTAGATAAGGTGCACCAGCATGCTGGATTGTTCATGCATTAGTGTTTCTTACCAGCCCAGCAAATTTTAAAGCAGCTTTTTTAAGAACAGAATTGGTTTTAGTTGTGGACCCTCCCAGAGTGAAGAAATTCAGTTGAGGGGCTAGCCGTGAATTTTAGGCCTAAAATGAAACCAGTGCACGTGGCAGGCAGGTGGCTAATGGCCATCAGCATAAGGGCTCATAGCCTGGCCAGAGTCCTGCTGTGCTATCTGTACCTCACAGCAATCTTTCTGCTCTGTGCCCTTCTTGGCTTTGATGGGCTGCAGCCTGTGTAAATGTCCCTGCTGCTGAGGTCCACACTTTGAAGGTCTGCCCAGCGCAGTTGATAAGTGATAACTTCGTGGGCAGGTCAGGTGCTCCCACCTGCCTGGTCCTGCAGGGACTCAGCACCGGGTGGAGGGGGAAGAGGTGGGTTCATTGCATAATTAGGCAATGAAAGGTTGCCTACTCCCTTAGGCTTGCAGGTAAGGGAGCCAGCTGCTAATGGCACAGCTTCCCTCACCTGGGAGACTTCCAAATGCCTGGGAAGCCAGGGGCAAAATAAGGTGCAGCCTGATAAGAGGGCAAGCTACTTATAAATCTCCTGGGTAGGTTTTGGCATGTTTTGCTTCCTTTTTGCAGGCCACTATTTTACCAAAGAGAAATAATGAGTGCAGAACTCTGCTTACAGAAGCGGAACCCAGTCTTTGTCAAGTCTTTTCAATCAAATAGTGTTCCACCATGCTAGCTCTGCCTGCGGAAGTATTTCAAAGCTAAATGTAAATGTTAATGAAGAGAAGACTCTCATATCACGGTGACGTGATCCCTTCCTGCCGATGTGGGAATAACAGGCAAGAACAACCTAGATCAGAGGTCAGATCCATACAAAGAGATGCTGGCAAAGCTGCAATGGTAACATCTTAGGATCATGCATGTGTCCTGGTGCAGAGTGGCCTCCTGCCATTTTAAAGGTCTTTTCCTCTCCCTGTAGCTTTAGAGCTCAGTTGCTTATCTGCCATGCAGACATTGTGGCCTGGGTTTTGTTCCCAGGACTTCTGAGTCTCAGGTGTTCAGGAAGGCAGCTCCTGAGCTCAGCTGTGATGTGTGATGTCCGAATGTGAGCTTTCAGTGCAGGGCCAGCAGAGACTAACCGCAGGTGTTTGATGTTACCAAGCTAGCAGATGGTCCGGTCTCAGTCCCACTCAGTACCCACCTCGACAATGTGGCCCCATCAGTGGGAAAGAGCTGAACAAGCCTTGACGGTCAGGTGCCAAAGTTCAGCTTTGTAACATGCTGCACCAGCTTCTGGACACAGAGTTTGTGGAAGGCTGTAATGTATGCTTCGCACAACTTAACAGCAGCTTTCCCCTCCCTTAAGAAGGAGAGTTATACAATTATTTTATGTTATTTCCACCTGCTTTTGTGATTTTTTTTTTGTTTTGAGGTAGTATAAGGAATCAGGCCAAACTCAACCTCCACCCTTTGCAGACAGTAAATAGCCATAAGGGATTTGCTGTGCTGACAAGCCCTTCAGAACAGTAAAACCCTTTGCTAGCTAATTTCTATTCGTTATTTAAAATCTCCCCCACCAAAGAAAGTAACTGCCAGTGATTTGTGCTAAAAACTTTCCTTATTAGAAAAAAAAAAGAACACATAGAGCATGACTGTAATAATAACCAAGTGTTTTTACTAGTGAGCCTAGTGAAACCTTAGATAAAGGAAAACAATTGTATTTTGCAGGTACACTGACTTTTTCCAGGTCACTTAATAATTCTTGATAGTGCTACCTGATTTCTACTGCTGTGTTTTAATAGACACATCCTTTCTTACTGTGTGTATTCACTTATTTCCCCCTAAATACCCTTCAAGTTTTCTATATTCATAAATAAAACAGTGGAACAATGGCCTTGAACAATAACAGGGACGTCTCTGATGCAGAGCTGAAGGCCAGAACTGTTTTTTGTATACATTAAGAGCCTTTAGGGACACTTTCTGGTCTGTTTATGCAGCAAGCTGTGGTATTTGAAGCTGTTCTGTTGAATAAATTAGTATTTATTTCAAAAAGCAATGAAGGATACCAAATAAATAGTATCATAGGGGGTGGGGGCACAGAAATACATATTTAAAAAAGGAAGCAAAGTGGTTCAGCTAAAAGGACTTTTTCATATCTGAGCCTAGTCAGAACCTCAAGGTTAGGATAACTTCGTATTTTCCATTGTCTACTTTTCTCTTTCATAAGCTTCTCTGTTTCCTGGTTCTAGCAAGGGCTGAAAGCAGAACGGCACACTGTAAACTAAAATAGGCTAAACTGAGCTTTCAAAGCACATTTGCTCAAGGAGTGTGGGGTGCACAGCTGTGCTCTCAGACTGCCGAGAGCCCACAGGCAAGCGCTGCAGATGGAGCCCAGACACCCTTACGGGAGGTGGATGAGGAAGGTGATCCCAGCACAGACCTACGGGCACCATCCCTGCTGCTCCTCCAGGGCACAGCCACTGTAGGAGCCCTGAGGGCCAGTGCCTGCAGGACACCCAGCACAGCCGGCTCAGCCTCCCTTCCTTCCTCCAGTTCCATGAAAGTTAGCTCCACTGTGTTCTGCCAGGCTCAGGCTCCTGCTCCATGCCCAGTTCCCACTATTCCCTCTCAGGCTCAGGTGGAAGAGCTGCTCTGTGGGGTTTTCTTGCACATGGCTTCTGTTTTGCTTCCTTGTGATTCTTTAATTTTTCTTTGAGTATTATGAAATTCCTTTCTTTTAACAGAAATGGTTTAAACAATGGTGTGATTTTTCTCTATCAGGTGGTTCTTTGAAAAACAATAGAACCATCTCTGCATCATGGTCTTCTACCTGCCTTCTGAGGTTGGGTAGGTTAGCATAAAGGTGGTTGCTCTGGCAAGGCCAAGTTGTTTGATTATATAACTTGCTTGCTGTCCCAAAATTAACTGTTGGGGTTTGACATGTGGATGACAGATACTTGGCTGATTTCATGGCAAAAATTGAAGCATCTTGATGAGTAAATGCCTGCGTCTCTGATGAAATTACAATACTAACCATTTACTGGGCTGGTGGAAGCATGGCTATTGGGGATTACAAATAGTCTCCTGACTTTGCTAAGGGGAAAAAGCTTGTTCTCAAAGAGTCAGAAAATGTAACGGTCAGGATACAGTCTTCCCCATCTTGCTTT